TGGTTGTATACATTTAGTTTTGCTTAAATGCTCAATAATGTAACACTTTGTGGAAGATTCTGTGTGAAATTCTGGCATAAAAATGAGATTCATCGATCTGTTGTTCCCAGAATTTTCCCTGAGCATAGCACATGCCGTACAGTTCTGTGCCAGTAACTGAAAGTAGATGGTTTAGGAGGAGGATACTGTCCTAATAGTGGAAAAAACACTGGATTGAAAGTTAAGCATGCCTTAAATGTAGTTGAGGTATGCACTTTGGCTTCTTAGCAAATAGCTAATGTGATCTTCTTGAAGAACTAGGGTTTAGGTTTTCCTTTTTGCTTTAAAAGTAGGTCATCTTTCTTTTGCTAAAATAAATCTTATTAACCTTGTGTAATTGAAGGACCTTATTGACATAGCGTTCTCATCATATTATGGTTCTTCTCACTAATTGATAGCTCTTTTTGTGGAAAATTCTTAAATGAAAGTGTCTTCTTTCAGTCTGGCCGAGACCTTCAACAGTACCAGAGTCAAGCTAAGCAACTCTTTCGGAAGTTGAATGAACAGTCCCCTACCAGATGTACCTTGGAAGCAGGAGCCATGACTTTTCAGTGAGTATAATCCTGATTTCTTTATGATCATTTAAGTATGAAATACAGTAATGTAACACCTGATAAGAACAGTAACAATTTTTTAAAAGTAAAGATTACTTTAAAAATACAGTCTCTTCATAGAAACAACTTCCCTGGCTCTAATTCTACAAACTAAAATCTTGGTTTGTTTATTCAACGAGCTTATAGTAATTTAACCTCCTGTGTCTAATGAATTCTGTATTCATCATGCAATAATGGATAACTTCTTGCTTTAGGAATATCTTGGAGCCAGCCACATTTAGGTTAGTACCCTTGCTCGAATGTTTACTAACGATGTAACTTTGAGCAACTCAAATAACTTCTCCAAGCCTCAGTTTCCTTTATAAAATAAGGAAAATAATCACAGGAGTTTTGAGAGGATTTTGAGGAAATCCATGAATATTACTTAGTATCTTGCCTGGCACATAGGGAATAGTCAAGAAATATTATTATTATTTAGAAAAAAGAAAATTATAAAAGGTAACCTAAGAACATCTCAGTGATTATAGACAACACATACAGTTGAGAAAGGGATCAAGGATCTCTTAGTTGTAGATTTTAAATTATCTACAAATAATTGGTATTAAATGTTTAATACATGTTAAGTTTGAAGCTGATAAAACAGGGAGGATTAAAAAGAAAAAGAGAATACAAGAAGATCGATGGAAAATAAAAAAGAATTAACTAAATGATCTTTGCTAGTTTAGGGACCCAGATAATAAGATAATTTAGGCCGGGAAGGAATCTGCGATGTTTAACTTTAAAAAAAAAAAATCTTCACCTATCAAAAACAAGTACACCAAAACAGAAACAAAATCCTGGCCTATTGGTTAAGAAAATGGTGGACATTACATTTCATAAGGTATTAATTTGCATAGTATCTAAAACTTTTTGTGTTAGTCTAATTTTCAACACCAAAAAAAATATAGCCGCTTGATATATAGTCTCTTTATCCCTACCAAAGGTTAGGGAAAAAAAGACCTAGGAAAGTTCCCAAGGAATTGAGAAGAGATTTTCTTCTGCCTGGTCCTTTAGGACCTTTATAATCTCATATCCTTTATTTCTATCCAAGAGCTATTTATTAAAGATTTATTCTTTGCCAGACCTTGTATTGAGTCCTGCCTTTAGTGTCCATACCTTTTAATGAGCATAGAGACACATACTCAAACAAGTTTACTGTAATACCTTAGAGGAAAAAATGTTGCTAACTGGATATAAATAAAATGTTTGGGGAGTAACAAGAAGGAAGCAATAAATACCTATTTGTGAGGGATAAGTTTGAAGAAAGGGAATAGAGGAAGGGAGAATACAGAGAAGTTTCACAGGCAAAAAATCGTAGTAGAATTTAGTATATGAAAATGAATAGGATTTTTCCAGGTACATAAAAGAGCATTAACAGTTAGAAAAAAACAACATAAGCAGAAAGCCACAAAGATATAAAGAACCTAGCTTGTTGGAGAACAGCATGCTGTTTGGTGTATTAGGATATACAACAGAATGTGGCTTATGCTTATTTTGAAGGACTGTACCAAGGAGTATACCAAGGAGTATGATTTTATTTTATGGGTATTGGGAAACTCCTAGACTTTGTAAGCAGGGTTATATGGTATGTTTACTTTTGGGGAATAAAACTGATGTTATAAAAGATGGTGTAGATTGAAGGCAAGGTGACCAGTGAGTTTAGGTGCCCAAGCAAGCGATAGGACAGCTGTATTATTAATATAGTTTAAGGGGCCTGAGAGATGATATAATAGTCTTTAAATTATCCTCTGTGGAGCCCCAAGATGCCTCAGGAGCCACATAGAAAGGTCAAGGATGGGAGTATATATAATGCTTTGGACCCTTAAACTCCTACTTATTTTTTCCTTTTATTTTTAGTTGACATATAATAATTGTCATATTTATAGGATACGGAGTGATGTTTCAATATGTGTATACAATGCGTAATGATCAAATCAGTGTAATTAGCCTATCTACTGCCTTAAACATTTATCATTTCTTTGTCTTGTCAACATTCAAAATCCTCTCTTCTAGCTTCTTGAAAATATTCAATAAATTATAGTTAACTGCATTCACCCTACAGTGCTGCAGAACACCAGAACTCATTCCTCCTATTAGCTGTAATTTTGTATCCGTTAAAAAACTTCTCCCCGTCCTCCCCTCTTTCCTACCCTTCTCACCCTCTAATATCCACAATTCTACTCTGTACTTCCATGAGCTCAAAAAAATTTTTTTAGCTCCCACACATATGAGAACATGCAGTATTTCTCTTTCTGTGCCTGACTTATTTTGCTTGGCATAATGTCCCCCAGGCTCATCCCTGTTGCTGAGAGTGATAGGCTTTCTTTCTTTTTATGTCTGAATAGTACTTCATTGTGTATATAAACAACATATTTTCTTTATCCATTCTTTTGTTGATGGAAATTTAAGTTGGTTCCGTATATTAGCTATTGTGAACAGTGCTTCAGTAAACGTGGGGGTGCACGCATCCCTTTGATGTACCTATTTCCTTTTCTTTGTATAAATATCCAGTAGTGGGATTGCTGCATGAGATGATAGTTCCATTTTTAGCGTTTTGAGAAACCTCCATAATGTCTCCTGTAGTGACTGTTCTAATTTATATTTCTACCAACAGTGTATGAGTTCTCTTTTCTCCACATCTTTGCCAGCACTTATTATTTTTTGTCTTTTTGATAATAGCCATTCTAACTGGGGTGAGATAATACCTCATTGTAGTTTTGATTTGCATTTCCCTGATGATTAGTGATGTGGAGCATTTTTTCATATATTTGTTATTTTTTTATGTCTTCTTTTGATAAATGTCTATTCACCTCCTTTGCCTACTTTTTAATAGGATTATTTATTTGCTGTTGAGTTGTTCGAGTTCCTTGTATATTCTGGATATTAGTCTCTTATTCAGTCAATAAAACTAGACCCCTGTCTCTTACTATATACAAAAATCAACTCAAAATGGATTGAAGACTCAAACCTAAGACCCGACACTCTAAAACTGCTAGAAGAAAACATGGGAGAAACACTTTAGGACATTGGTCTAGGCAAAATTTTATGGCTAAGACTTCAAAAGCATAGGCAACAACAACAAAAAAATAGACAAATGAGACTATATTAAACTAAAAAGCTTCTGCACAGCAAAGGAAACAGTCAACTGGATGAATAGACAACCCGTAGAATGGTGAAACTATTTGCAAACTCCTCTTTAAACTAAAGAACTTCTGAATATAAGTTTTGTTGAAAGAAAGGGTACTGTGGCTAAAAAGAAGTTTGAAGACCACTTAGCCTAACCTTTTCCCAAGAATATCTCAGACATATAGTCATATAGCCCTTTCTTAGAGTTCTAGGGAAATCAGTTCTATTGTTGGATAGTTTCCAGTTGATTACAGAGTTCTCCTAGCCTGGAAATTAGGCAATGTTATTAGTCCTGAAGCCTCTGTTTTCTATACCCAGTAAATATTATGGCATTTACCTTCAACTTTTAAGTATCCACAAAAATTTCTAGTTTCACTGTTTTTCTTTTTGGCCAGAAGGAATTTAAATATGTGCAAACTAGTTTACTATACAGAATCAAAGGGTGGATGGAGTCACAACTCTGAATTTTTCAAGAAGTCAGGTATTAAGATATGTTAATTGAAGAATTGTGTAATGAATGAATAAAAATTATATTATTATGTCTAAGTACTCCTTTTGGAATATACTGCTAATAATGGAAATATATTTGCTTTCTGATTCCAAGGATTTGTGGTTTGAAATTTACTTTCTGATTTAGCCAGCCAAAGAGTTTAGGCTAGATATTTTCAAAAGCTTCGATAGTACTGAGATTCCGCTTCAACCTGTTGGAGGTACAGTTATTTACAAACAACTTTTACATCTTTCCAGCTACATCATTGAGCAAGGGGTGTGTTACTTGGTTTTGTGTGAAGCAGCCTTCCCTAAGAAGTTGGCTTTTGCCTACCTAGAAGATTTGCACTCAGAATTTGATGAACAGCATGGGAAGAAGGTGCCCACTGTGTCTAGACCCTATTCCTTTATTGAGTTTGGTAAGTTTTTGCCCCTCACTTCTCTATCAAGGGAGGAAACAATAAGGAGAAGCTATTTGTTATATTGATACAATATTGACATATTTTTTCTCATGTTTACTTACTGAAGTTTTGGCTTCTGCCTCCTCACCCATTCTACCTCTTTATGTCTTTTTGAGTGAATGAGGCTTCCTTCTTATGAGTAATTTTCTCTAGTCTTGTGATCTTTTCCTCATAGAACCTGTTGCCTTTTGCCCCGTTTTGCTATTTGGTTTGGTTTTTCATTAGGGTCATGTGGAATAGGAGCTGTGCCTGAAGATCTACTTGACTGACATATGATAGCTGATTTCATCTTCCCCCCAACCCATAGACACACACTCACAGTAAAGTTCACCTTATGGAGATCAGAATTTAGAAATCAGAAAGAACGGTGCTTAGTAGAATAACATCCTTTAATTTAAAAAAAAAAATAGAGGATATATGGTATCGATGGTATTAGGGGATAATATTTACTACATTTAGAAGTAGTAAATGTGGGTGTCCGTATTTGTATAAGAATTATAGAAAGACTCATTACCAGTCAGACCTGGTAAAGTATCTGATGGCAATAGATCAAAGGAAATGAACTTAGTATGTTAAGTACAGGGAGTGAAAACAAGTAGGATCAGGCTACATCACTGAAATTTTTGGTTAAACAAGAAAGTAGTTTTACTATCTCAGAATTTCTGAAGTGTTTCAAGTTTGCTAGATAAGTATGTCATCTTGCTTTTCAGAAATAGAGAAAATTTGGCAAAACACTCCAATGTTTCATAACTACGAGCTCTCCAAATGCTAATTTATATAATGTCCAGTTTTTCAAACTTTATTTTTGAAGACAGTAACAGTCCAGTAAACTCAAGAAAAAAATCAGACAAGCGTATCAGGGTCACACAGAAAGTAGATGGGATACTCAAATTATTAATAGCTTAAGGGATTATATACAAAGTTATGAATGGGCTATAGGAGAACCATAAGGTACAGGAACCTGGGAAATAGCAGTAGTTGTTACTATCCTTAGGCCTGAAAGTGTAAGGGGAAAGAGGAGTTTCTGGAACTGAAAAGGAGAAAATTTATAGAGAAGACCAACTTGAGAGAAGTAACTTTTGGTAGAGGGATACTGCCAGCCCAAAGTGACTTCTCAGGAAGGAGCCAGGGGAATAAATACCCTGATATCACTGTCTGCTTCTTTCTTCCCTACTGTTGAGCCTCCTTCATTACATGAACCTAAATGGAAGCCAAAGGGTGATTAATGAACTTCATACAGGCCGGTTTCCCAGGTCAGAAAGCAAGGTGCAGAAGGGTGGAGAGGAGATCTGAAGAGGCAAATGAAAGGTGTCCAGGACATAAAACTTAAGATTTTTGCCAGAAGTTTAAAATGTCTGTACTAATAAGTTATTCTTATAGTTTTGAGAAATACAGATACACTCTAAAGATGAATAAGACTGCAGTTTTATATTGGTTTTTAGGAAACTCCCCATCACATATTTGCTTTATCTGAATTTATGAATGGGGTAAAATTGGGAATGTATATTAAAGAAAGTACTTTAAGGCAATGTTTTTCAACTTTAATGATCATTAACTCCTTTTGCCATGTTAGGCTATAATGATACTAGAGTGTTGCCAATATCCTTTTAGGGAATATGTAGACTTAAGTGAGGAGGAGAGTTATTGTGTAGAGTTAAGGACCTAATGGATCTCAGAATACAGTTTGAAAATTTCTACTTTCGGGAAAGGCTTACTATCATGTGCCTTAATTTCTCTAAGGCTTCTGATAGCAAATACTTCTAATTCAAAGGTGTCCAAAGGCATTTCTCCTGAATGGTCATCTAGTTTTATATTTACATTTTATGAATGAAGAGATCAAAGCCCAGATTTTGAAACTCACCCAAGAGCTTGGTTAGCCATGGACACTGACAGATCTAGCCATAAGCTCAGTACTTTTGATCCTTCACTACTTTGTTGGATGTGAAAGAAGTCGTTAATGGTCACCTCTTCATCATCCTAGATACCTTCATTCAGAAAACCAAGAAGCTCTACATTGATAGTCGTGCTCGGAGAAACCTAGGCTCCATCAACACTGAACTGCAAGATGTGCAGAGGATCATGGTGGCCAATATTGAAGAAGTGTTACAACGGGGAGAAGCACTCTCAGGTATCTAAAAGCAGTGAGAGTCTTATGAAGAAGTAGTTCTCATTCCATAGGCAAGGATAGCTTATTTCGCAGTACCTTTTATGCTGTCAGATTCTACCTAGGACTGTTAAGAATTCATCTATCATTACAAAGCTTCTAAAATGATACATTTTTTTTCCTAGCATGATTATTTTTTGTTGAGTTGGAGCAGTGTAAGACTCATGCATATTAGAAGTAATTACTGTTCCCAAGATTTACAAAATAAATTATGCAAAAATAAATTATGTACAGAAACATTTGCACACGTTAAAGGAAGTGAAAAGAAGAATGAAAGGAAATTGTCAAAGATTTATTGCAGCGGTTTTGTGAGTAGCCTCTGTGGGAGACGTTACTGCTGCCAGATCACTCTTTATAAAACGCCATTTTCATCAAGGCATTCCTTTCTGAAAAACTTAAATGTGGGACTACAGGATATGATCCAGTCTGCTCTCTGCTTACTTTTCATTCAGTCAGTCATCATTATTAAGTACTTGCTGTGTGTAAGGCATTGTGCTCTGCATATGGAAGGTAAGGAGATTGCAAATGTCTGTTATTCTCCTTAGTTTGTAAGCATTCTCCCTCAGCCAGATCAGCTTTCTCACCATCCTTAATGGTCCATTCTCACCTAACACTGGACCTGTCCTTTAAGACCTAGACAAGAGGCCAGGGCGCGGTGGCTCACGCCTGTAATCCTAGCTCTCTGGGAGGCCGAGGCAGGTGGCTTGTTTGAGCTCAGGAGTTCGAAACCAGCCTGAGCAAGAGCGAGACCCCGTCTCTACTAAAAATAGAAAGAAATTAATTGGACAACTAAAAATATATAGAAAATAATTAGCCGGACATAGTGGCGCATGCCTGTAATCCCAGCTACTCGGGAGGCTGAGGCAGGAATATCGCTTGAGCCCAGGAATGTGAGGTTGCTGTGAGCTAGGCTGATGCCACAGCATTCTAGCCCGGGCAACACAGTGAGACTTTGTCTCAAAAAAAAAAAAAAAGACCTAGACAAGAACTACGTCCTCAAAGAAGCCTTCCTTGGTCCTTATAGCCCACATTCCATTAATCTCTTCTGTACTTTAAACTCTTAAAGCACTTAGTTACATAATTGTTTTTACATACAATTGTATCTTTATGTGTTTGTATTTTTATTTACCTAATTTATCTTAAATATATATTAAATATATATTTAGCCAATTAACACATATAAATATGTATTAATATATTTATATTATATAATTTATTTTATATAAATATATTTTGATATTTAAATATACTTAAGGCAAAGTAGGTAAATATATATGTAAAATTAGGTATTTTTACCTGTAGTTTTAAAATTATAGGTAATTAGGTAAAATTAGGTTAAATATATTCATATATTTGCCTGATATTTAAATGTTACCTAAATATTTAATAAGAGCATGTAAGCTTTTTTTTTTTTTCTTTAAAAAAAAGAGCACAGTGTTGCCTGGGTTAGAGCACAGTGTTGCCATCATAGCTCACTGCAGCCTCAAAATCTTGGGCTCAGGCGATCTTCCTGCCTCAGCCTGTCCAGTAGCTGAGACTAGACGAGCACCACCATGCCTCTTTTTTTTTTTTTTTTTTTTTTGTAGAGCTAGGGTTTCACTGTGTTGCTCAACCTGGTCTCTAACTCCTGGCCTCACCTCAAGTGATCTTCCCGCTGCCTCCCAAAGTGCTGGGATCATAGGTGTGAGCCACTGTGTGTTCTAAGCTCTTCAAAGATAGTATTTTTGTGTTTTATATCTGTTTCAATTACTTTCATATCCCTCATAGTAATGGTCACAAGTAGATTTCTTAATAAGTATTTCTTGAATTCAGCCTTGCTACATATTCATTAGTAAACAAGTTTTTATTTATTATGAATGGCAAACGTTAACCTTTATGTTAATGGTCAGCAGTTATCCCAGCATAAAGCTTCACACTCTTGAAACATTAAATTTTGAATGAGTGAGTCTGTGTACGTTTTCATCAAATAGACTTTACACTTTCTACCTGGGATAAAGTAGACCATGACAAGAATTCTTCTTAAATCCAAAATTTTTGTATTTGTGAGTTTATCAACAGTGCAAAGAATGATCTTCTAGTGCTTTGTTGTTTGCTACAAAGCTGATATGCTGATTGAAAAAGTACATTTTACCCTAAGTAGCTTCAGGGTACTGGTTGGCAAGATAAGAAACATTCTCACAGAGTAATTGACAGTATAAGGGAACAAATATCTCACTGCGTTTTAGGCAATATTCTAAGAGGATATTATTATTTAATCTTTAAAATAATCCCATATGAGGTACATGATATTAAACCAGTTTTACAGATAAAGAAGCAGAGACTCAGAAACGTTACATGGCTTACTAAAAATTACAATGCTAGTACTTAGCAGAATCAGGCCTTCTGGATTTTTGTCCATTTTCAGTGTATGATGGTTTCAAATTAACATATAGATAACAAGCACCATAGTAATAGTTATATAAGAATAGATATGGAAGGAAGTAGAATATAGAAGGAAGGAGGGAGTAGATTATAGAAAGAAGTAGATAAATGTAAAGTGAACAGGAAAGATTTCCTGAATTTAGTTGGATCAGGAAGGAGTGAAGAGTGATATTTTAAGTGGAAGAAAAAGCATATCTGAACAGAGCATATTTGAAGGACAGTAAAGGGCTTAGCTTACCTTAAAGAATATTTTCTTCTTTAAGTTTCTTCATAAGAATCCATCTTTTACACCTCCTTCTCTTTCTGATTTCTAGTTTTAGAACTAATCTACTTTGCATTTAAGACCCAAGAGTAGTTCTGTGTGTTCTTTCAGTACAAATTATGTCCTTTTTTACTGCCTAAATATACCTATTCTTTTAAGCCATGGGTTTTATTTTTTCATTCAAAGGTATCACCCCTATAAGGTATCACTCCCTGCAGTTCCACAAAGGAAGGGATCATCTGTATTTTGATCATTATTGTATCCTCTAGCACTTCACATGGTACTAGTAACATAAATATTTGCTGAATGACTTCTCCAAACAGTAGCTTTGTCTTTATGATATCTTGTGTTTCAAAATGTTCCTAGATAGAGGAATTCTCTTAACGATTACTTATTTCCTATGGCCTAATAATTGTTCCTCTGAACAATTCTCAGCAGATTTAGATTCTTTCAGCAAATGTTTGTTGAGTGCTGACTCTGTGCCAGGCCCTGTTCAGAGCACTTAGGATGTAACAGTAAACAATAGTTAAAAATCCCTGTCCAATGGAGTGTGCATTTTAGTAGGCTGGCTGGAAAGATTCCTTGAGCATTGTCATGGTTATTTCTCACCCCTAACTGTTCTCTTTCGTGACTAGATGTTTTTCTTACTCATACAATCAGTTGCTAATTTAGATGTGGCTGTCATGCCTGTGTTGTTAAGTAATGCCACATTTCCCAATCAAAATCAGTCTCTATTAAGCAACTCCAAATATTCCAAAAGCCTTCTCTAAGGAAGAACAAACAAATTCAGATTGCACAATAGTTTTATAAAAACTTAAAGAAATAAGAAGTTGGTCAGAATTTATTTATATCAAGCAGAGAGTTTGTTTTTATTATTAAAATATGCTCTATATTTTAATCTGATCTAACTTTATCTGGCTATTTCTTTAAGTGCTCAATTGATAATTATAAGAACATAACAACATTATAGATGGATGTCCTTGGGAGGGAAAAATAAACTTCAGAAAATTCTAAAAAACTTAATTTACTAGATATTGGTGCTTTGTAGCACTTGTTTTTGTTTCGGGGTTTTTTTGGTTTGTTTTTTTGTTTTATTTTATTTGTAGAGACGAGGTCTCTTGCTGTTACCTAAGCTGGTCTAGAACTCCTGGCCTCAAGCCATCCTCCCACCTTGGCCTCTCAAAGTGCTGGGTTTACAGGCATGAGCCACTGTGCCCAGGCACCTGTTAGTATTTTTAGTTACAATACAACTTTCATGTGTCTGTTGAAATATAATTTCTGACAGCTTTTAACTTTGCAATAGTCTTTACTAAGTGGAGGATCTTAGAATTTTTTTTTTTTTTTGGCAAGGTAAGCACAAAATGAGGTTTATTTTTTTTCCCTTGTCTATTATCTTTTTTTAAATTTTATTTTAATTTTATTTTTTTATTTCAGCATATTACAGGGACACAAATGTTTAGGTTACATATATTGCCTTTGCCCCCACCCGAGTCAGAGCTTCAAGCGTGTCCATCCCCCAGACAGTGCGCACTGTACCCATTAGGTGTGAATATACCCATCCCCTCCTCCCTGCTCCCACCTGCCCAACCCCCATTGAATGTTACTACTATATGTGCACGTAAGTGTTGATCATTTAATACCAATTTGATGATGAGTATATGTGGTGCTTGTTTTTCCATTCTTGTGATACTTCACTTTGTAGAATGGGCTCCAGCTCTATCCAGGATAATGCAAGAGGTATTAGATCACCATTGTTTTTTGTGGCTGAGTAGAACTCCATGGTATACATATACCACATTTTATTAATCCACTCATGTATCGATGGGCACTTGGGTTGTTTCTACTTCTTTGCAATTGTGAATTCTGCTGCTGCTGCACATTCTAGTGCAGATGTCTTTTTTATAGAATATTTTTTTTTCCTTTGGGTAGATGCCCAGTAATGGGATTGCTGGATCAAATAGTAGTTCTACTTTTAGCTCTTTGAGGTATAAAACGATGTTTATTGAGGAGAGAAAGATAGGATTACATAGTAAGAGCAAGATATAGGTTTACAGAGTAAGAGCAAGATACGTGCACTACAGAACGGCAAATGAGCCCTTTGTTGTAACAAAAAAAGCTAGAAATTTTAATAGTAGTCATCCTTGAAGTGTAGCTTAAGACAGTGTCTGGATAATTGAATTTACCAGTTATCTGAGTCTTACTTTATATGGATTATCATTTTTTAAAATATGCAAGAATGTGATTTAGACCATTAAAATATTATGAAGATGATTATAATTATTAGAAAAATATCAGGTAGAATTTATTAAATGTTTACCATATGCAGACATTGTGCTCATTTTACAGGCAAACTCATGTACCTACAATCTTATGATGTAGTTACTGTTACTATCCCTATTTTACATATGAAGAAACTGAGTTTTAGAGAATTTAAGTGACTTGACCAACATTGTGTGGCTGATACAGCTGATATTTGAACCGAAGGGTCCAAGGCCAGAGCCCGTACTAACCACCTCACTATACGGCCTCAAGAATTTGAACATAATTTATTCTGATAATTTTTAAATGTATTGTGGATTTTACAGTGTTTCAGGATCATAAATTAATCAGTGTATACAACCTTACCCTTAAAATAAAAATGATAATTTAAGCTTCATGGTTGATTTCTCTAGTGCCACTCATTTTGATTATCTTTATGCCTGAATACTTTTGATAAAATATTTCCGGAGACTAATTTATGCCTTTCTTTTTCTTCTTTGACAGCATTGGATTCAAAGGCTAACAATTTATCCAGTCTGTCCAAGAAATACCGCCAGGACGCGAAGTACTTGAACATGCGTTCCACTTATGCGAAACTTGCAGCAGTAGCTGTATTTTTCATCATGTTAATAGTGTATGTGCGATTCTGGTGGCTGTGAAGTAGTGAATACGGTCACTGGTAAGGGAGAACCCAGAACCTCGTAGGTGTATGTTTTCAGGAAGCTGAGCTCACAGGGATGTGTATTAGAATCCAAGTGGAACTTCTGCCTCTAAAGACCTTGCAAGAAAAGACCATGTCCTGAAAATGAAAGGTTTTGCCTCATTGACTGAAGCTTAACCTATGTAGAAAGTCTCTTTTGGGGGCAGAGGCTTTCTCTGGGTGCTAAGCCATATATGTTAGGGAACAGTAGATTGTTTTATTTTGTTTTTTCCTTTCCCAGTACATTTTTAAAACATCACTGACTGGGACATTCTCATTTCTCTAATGGAGCCATCGGTGAGATTTAGCTTAGCCAACCTGTGCTAGCAACATTTTGAAATTCCTTCAAAGAAGGCAGCCCTTTGGGAAGTTTTTTGTCTCTAATCAACATTCCTTTTGTTGGTGATAGTTGTGATTTTCAGTAATCTGAGTTGTTGACGGCCTTTCAAACAAGACTGCAGTATGTGAAGGTTAATTGCTGTGCTGCACAGATCTTGTCTATTGGCCCCTGTAGGAAGTTAACCTTTGTTGTTTGCACAATTGCTTTAGGGTTAAATGAATTATATTAAGATGCCTTGAAATTATAACACTCCTTGATTAAGAAGCTCAAATGTTTTCTCTCATTTACTCCTTATACAAGACTTAAATTAGTTTGGGACATTATTAATTTTATTTTACAGCATCTGGTTTATGTTAGTGTAAGAGTGAGTATGGCACATGGATAGTCAGAGGCCCCTGGCTTAATGAGAAGAAGGACCCAGCTCATAACCATGGCTTTGTCCTGCCCCTTCCTCACTTTCTCTACTGTGGTTTTCCCCACTCTTTGTTTTCCTCCTGTCATAATATGCTAACGTTTTAAAAACTTCCCTGTGCTTAGTAATTTTATGTTCCATAAACATCCTCTCAGGATATTCTCAAATTTCAAAATGGAAAATGTTCAGCTGTATAGTTAATTAAATTTAAACTTTTTGCAGATCAGCTACTCAAACTACTAAATACATTTATCTGAGAAAGTCTCTGAGGGTACCTCATTCCCGTTTCAGTTTATGTAAATTCCCTGAGAATGATCTAGAGCCAGGTAACTCATTTACAGTGGTTTCTATTAACTAATAAAAGTACCTATGATTTTTTCCTTTTTTGCTAATGGATGATGGGGATTTCCTTTTACCTTCTGAGGTGGAATTTTGTAAATGGGGAGAATAGGCCTTTTAAATATTATCACAGGGTCTACAATATAACCTATAACTCCTGCATATACTGCAAGTATTTCTTTAAATTGTACAGAAAAATGAGCCAACTTCTTATTTCTTAATATCTTTGGAAAGAACTTTAACCAGTAAGCAATTTTATAACCCTGAGGGATCATCAAAGCTACTGTCCTGATTGCTGGTAGAGGAAAAAAAAAATCTTCGTTATAACAAAGCAAGGAGAAATGTTTATTTTATTCCTGATAATTTACAAAACTAGAATTTTTTTCTTTCTATTATGGACCTAAATCTGCCAATTGGAGTTATGTGCATGAAATATATGAAGTTACTTTTTATAGAAAATAAGTGCTTTTAAGTCCCTAAAAGGCCCCTCCCTAAGTAATGATGTTGGCAATAGCCTTTGAAAGGCTGAAAACCTAAGTAGTGGTACCATAGCATTTGGTGCTTCTATACAAGTGGAGAGTAGCAGCTCATTGTTGAGAGTTGCATGCTGCAACCTGATGGTCAGCAATGAAATAAATACTTCTAGAATGTTCCCTGCAGTGTGAAGTTTTGTTATCTAGTTAACTAATGTACGCATATCCTTTCTTAGGTACATTTCTACCTAATTTCAGTGGGCTAATTAAAAAAGAAGGGGTGGGGTAAATGATGAACAAAGGAACAAAGTGATTTAAGATTGGAATAGCAGAAAAATGAGAGAACAACAGTGTCACAGTATGGCTCCTACTTCTTTTCTTTATAGGAAGTAGTGGGGAAGATCTGACTAGATGAAATGTATCAGCAACCAAATGGGCATTCTAAAGTAGAATGTGATAAATACCATATGAAGCTATTGGAGGCACATTAAGAAAGGACACCTAATTTATTTTGGGAAGGAGTGTGGTAAGAGGAGACTTCCTAGAGAAGAAGGAGAGAATGGGGCATTCTAGGCAAGGTGAATGGCATGTGCAAAGGCATGAGTAAAGAGAATGAGGCACATTTTGGGAATTGGTTCAGCTTAACCTTATAGGTTAAGTGCGGACAATAGAGGAGACATGAGAAAGGATAATTAGACTAGTACACTGTCATAAAGGGACATGTCTACTGTGTGAGAAGTTTAGACTATACTAATAGCTATGGCAAAGGATGACATCAGATTTATAATTTCAAAGGATCATTTTGGCTAAAGCGTAAAAGATATATTACCAAGGAATAAGCCTGGAAGAAGGGAGATGAACTAAGGAGCTATGAAAGGCAAAATCAAATAGGCAGGTTTCAAGTGATTTTCAAGAAAGGAGTGGTCAGAGGTACCAGATAATAACTACTGCATAACACTCCTTTGTTAGGAGCTTATTTAATGCTCACATTGGCATACCTTTTGAAGTAAGTGCTATTCACACCATTATATAAATAAATTCACACCTTTACAAAGGATACTACTCTGAGGCACAGAAGAGTTAAGTACTTTGCCCTAAGTCATAGAGCTAGAAAGTGATGGAGCTAAGATTTGAACTTAGGCAGTTTGGCTCGAGTTTGTGATTTTTAACAGCTATACCACAAAGCAGTCAAATAAAATAAGTACCAAAACACTTATTTTGAATTTAACAACCAGGAACTTAATCACATGGGCAGAAGTAATTCAAGAGAACTGGGGACAGAAGCCAGATTGCAATGGGTTGAGAATTGTGTGAAGCACTGGGAAATGTAAACATAGAACTACTTTCACAAGTAGCTTTTCTGATTATCGTGACACTGAACTTCATGGTTTGCTTTAATGAAGACATCTCACAAATGTCAAAATTTAGAAATATGTGGCACATTGTACAGAAATCTTGTTATTTAAATGTCTGACAGTGGTTCTTAAGCTTTTTGAGAAACCTTTGAAAATCTGATGAAAGGTATGTGCCTTTGCCCCACAAAAATGTTCATGTGTATGTGCACACCAAGTATCACATACTATTTCAGGCTATTCAAGGACCACAAAGTGTTTGTGATCTAGTGGCCCATGATCCCTCAATTAAGAACTACAGATACATAGGATGTGGAATGCAAAGGTAAGTACCCAGAAGCCTTGAAAATGTGGTGAATTGAAAGAATTCTACAGTTTGAACTCGCTTTGTGGATGAAATGTATTCTTGAAAAATTGTGTGTACAAAAAAAATCATATCAAATAGTATTTTTCTGTAGTGCATTCAGGGATCTGGTTCTATAGAAAAAAAATTTTTTTTGGTCCCAGTTACTCAAAATCACATTTAAGGAGCTTGAAATTTTCTACTTTTATCAGTAAGAATTCTTCTCACAAAAGCAAGTTAAGGAAAATGGATGATCATTTCTGCACCCACAGGATTTAATAAAACACGTATGATAAAACATCTCATAGTTTAAATTCCCATCTTATTGGGAGTTTTCACAACTAAGGGCTTGGATGTTGGTGGCCACACAATTGTGGCTTTTGGTTAGTGTATTTAGCATAACTGGCTGAGCCCCACCTAGTGTTTTTGTTATTGTTTCAGACCTCTCAGCAGGAAGGCAAATAGCAGTGATTGTATATATAGATGCTACTGCTTCTGTAATTGCATATTAAGTAATTGGACCAAATAGCTTGTACTGTAAAGGTCCCCAAAGAAAAATTTGCAGCATATGTGACACAGTTTGAGATAGAACAAGCAAATTGAGTCTCACATACTATTCTTACTCACTGTCACGCAGGGTTGACCCAACAGTATAAAACTATCTCAAGCAATGTAGTCACTAAGTTCTAATAAAGTTTATTTCAAGTGCTGTAACAATCCATGGTTTTAGTTCTAATAAAGTTTATTTCAAGCGCTATAACAATCCACGTTTTAGATTTGAAAAATCATTGGAAATTTGACTTTCATGTAGTAATATATCCTGAACTAAATTTTTTCTCTCACAACCTTCATTTTTTGAGCACCAAGTATTGGGCATTTTACATGTATTTACAATGCTTATAACCATTTTCTGTTCTTGTCCAAGGTCACATAGCTAGCAAGTTGAAGTACTTGGATTCAGATCTAGGGCTGCTAAACACTTAATCAGTTTACTACTTCACTATACTGTATACTACTAAAAATGATGTAGACATGTTTGTCTTAAGCATTTCACTTTGTCCTGTCAAGTTATTAGTAAACTTATTTTGGAAGGTATATGTGTGTGTGTGTGTGTGTGTGTGTGTGTGTGTGTGTGTTACAATTTTATTTTATTATTCCAGTCCCCTTTTTCATCATTTCCCCCTTCATTCCCTTTAAATAATTTTTCTTCTTGTGATCTCATTTGCCCTTTTCCACCCTTGGTTTGTAGTACATCTTATTTTATTTGCTTCTTTATTTATTCATTTGATCTCAATGTTAATTCAACAGTTTTCTACATCTGATTTACTAAGAGATGGCAAAATGTTTTTTTAAAAAAAATAAATCTCCCTAGTTTTCCTATGTCTTTTTTGCTCATTCTCTTCTCTTTCCGTCACTTATTTTATCCTTTTCCGTTTTACTTTCTTTTTCATTACTCTAGGTGCTGTTTTTGCTTATAGGTTAATATAATGCTGCAACTTTGCTTTTGTAAATGAGAGCTCCAAAATCAACTAAGTCTTATATTCTTTATATTTAGGCATTATCTTACCTTTTATTGATTTTATGGTATGCTGTATTTTCTCATTTTAGTCAGCACACATTAGTTGATGAAAATAATGCCCCTGCTTTAAAGAATTCCTTTATTAAAATTTTCAAACATTGCAAGAATTCTTCAAGCTCCTCTAGTTTATCTTCTATAGGGCTTCAACTATTACCTGTATTACCGGTAACTCCCAAATACATCTATCTTCAAACTTGTATTCCAGGCCCAAATTTTTTGGTGCTTATTGGATATCTTTTTTTCAATATCCCATAAGTACTTCATTGCATCTAAAATGTCATTACCTCCACTCGATTGCTCTCAGGATAAAACCTAACCTGTGCTTCCTGCTATATTTCTCATTTTTAGGTATCACCTGCTACCCCTTTATCTTAACTATAAGTCATGAATTACATTTGACTCCTCTGTTTTCTGCTTCCACCTCTAACTCAACTGTCAACCAAAATCTGTTTTTCATAACCTTCAAAATATTTTTCATCCATCACTTCCTTTCCGTTGTTTTCGCCTTGGGTTCAAACACTCATTAACTTTAATGTAGATTCTTGCAGTGGCTTCCTTACTGCTTTCCTTCCATATATCCTTCTTTCATCTCAGTAATACCATGATAATGCCAGAAATTTTCTAAAAGCAAAGCATACCACATTTCCTGTAGAATAAAAGATCATGTACTCTGCCCTCTGCAATCCAGCCCCATTGTACCACTCCAGACTCATCATCTCCTGCCACTCCCTACCGCCTGTATTTTGTTTCAGCCACACTAAATCTAGGCTTCTCTAACCAAATACTTTACCTTGTGCCTTGGCTTATTCTATGGCTTCTCTCCAGAATATCTTTTTGTGTACCTTACTCTTATCCTTTTTTCTTTAAACCTGCTGCTATGGTTTGGATGTGCTTTATCCACTCCAAAGCTCATGTTGAATATTAATTGCCCATATAACAGTTTGGGGAGGTTGTGCCTTTAAGAAGTGATTAGATTGTTAAAGTGGATTAATGTCTTTCTCCCAAGACTAGATTAGTTCTTGAGGGAATAGTTAGTTTCCATGAGAATGAGTTGTTATACAGGGAGGTTGCCTCTCATATTTTGCTCTTTTTGCACTTGGCTAGTTCCCTTTCTGTTTCCCTGCCATGTTTTGATGCAGCATGAGACCGTCACCAGAAGCTGTCAGATGCGGCTGCCCTATCTTGAACTTCCCAGCCTATAGAACTGTAACTAAATAAAACTCTTTTCTTTATAAATGGCCCAGTCTCAGGTATTCTGTTACAGCAGCAGAAAACAGACTAAGACACCTGCTAAAGTTCTGGTCTTCTTTCAAAGACCCAGCTCAAGTATCTTCTTTGTAAAGCCTTTTCTAACTTTGTCACGCCCTCCTTCCCACTGACCTGGGAGAAGTTATGGTTTTATCCTCCCACAGCAACTTGCTCATATTTCCAGTATAGAATCTCCCAATTTAAAATAGCATTCAGGCTGGTCGCCATGGCTCACGCCTGTAATCCTAACACTCTGGAAGGCCAAGGTGGGAGGATCACTTGAGCTCAGGAGTTCAAGACCAGTCTGAGCAAGAGCAAGACCCCATCTCTACCTAAAATAGAAAAATTAGCCAGGTGTGGTGGTGTGCGCTTGTAGTCCCAGTTGCTCAGGAGGCTGAGGCAGGAAGATAATTTGAGCCTGAGGAGTCTGAGGTTGCAGTGAGCTACGATGATGCCACTGCACTCTAGCTGGGGCAACAGAGCAAGACTCTGCCTCGTAAATAAATAGCATCAGTGTGTGCTTGTTTGTCTCCTTGGCTACATGCCTCGTGAGATCCCTGGTAGAGACCGGTTGTTATTCACATGGTCTTTGAATCCTTGCCATTCAGTACAGTGGCCGACACATTGGAGGTACTCAACAAATATTTGCAGGATGAAT